TCGACAGTCTCTATAATAAGAAAAAAAGTAAAGAATAATAGATCTTGCAAAAGTCTTTATTAGAGTCGTAAATACAACATAAAATTTTTATTGCTCTTTCTAGAATGTCTGCCATTTTCAAAAATCTTCTAGGAGGTTTGCATGCACTTCATTTCATCAGTTTTTGCTCGGCAATAAAAGTAATAAAAGCTTCAAGCTTTTATGAAAACCGTCAGTAAAATGTTGAAGAGTTTATTTTTTTTTGTCACTACGAAGGAGTTTATGAAAATGAAGCTTCTCATAAACTTTTAAATGATGGAGAAAAACTTAACTCAAGCTTTATGAGGTCAATAAATTCTCTTGTAAGATTCATTATTCGATGACTTGGGTGGGTGGGTGTGGGTGTGGGTGGATGTGGATGTGTGGTGTGGGTGGGTCTGGGTCTGGGTCTGGGTGTGGGTGTGGGAGGGGGTGTGAGTGTGGGTGTAGATGTGAGTGTGGGATATGGGTTGGATGTGGGTGTGGATATTGGTGTGGGCGTGGGCGTGGGCGGGTGTGGGTGTATGAGCCGGTGTGGGTATTGGTGTGGGTGTGTGGGTGTAGGCGTGAGTGTGTGGGGTGTGGATGGATGTGTGGGTAAATGTGTGGGTATGGGTGTGTGTGGATGTGGGTGTGGTTATGCGTCTCACTCATGTCTTCATCCACACCCACACCCACAATCACACGCACATCCACACCCGCACCCCACATTCACACCCACACCCCACACTCTACACCAACGCCCTATTTCATGCACACAGAAAATAAATAGAATGGTCTGACATAGGGATGCATCAGATACAAATCTAATCAAAGCCAAATCCAATTCTTTGTTTGGATTTGATTGGGTTTTACTAGATTTGGATTTGGGTTTGACTTAGAGTTGGATTTGACTTTAGATTTGACTAGATTTGGGTGGGGTCTGACAGGGTGGGGTATGGATGTTTTCGCTCAGTATTCCTACACCTACAACCTCTGTGTATATAGTAAAAAGAAATAAGAAAACGATCTTCTGTTGTTTTAATTTTGACCAAAATATAAAAGACAAACAACTCCGGAAACATTTTTTCTCTAGCTTGACGCCCGGATCAAGGAAAACTGTCTTTCTTTTCGAATACTTTGTACATAGATAGATAGGTTCATCTACAGTGGCGGCAAAAATTATTCATACGATTTTGTTTTAATAATAACTCAACATCACATCGGTATTTTGAGACGCGGAAAACGACAAAAGAACCTCCATGGCCTCTAGTATCTACGCTATAAATATCAAAGCGTTTGACTTATATTCGTTGGAGATGTTACTAGATTACTGGGAAAACTAAGCAATTTGTTGGCAAAAATTATTCGTACGAGTATTTTTCCTGAGAGCCCTGAATCGATCAAATGACTTCCAACCAGCATAGAATCGGTCAGGATAGGGGTAATCGATCACGCTGAGTAGAGTGGCGATGTTTGTTTTTAGATTCAAAGTGATCTTAGGTCACTAAATCAACTTTCAAAATGTTCACTATATACTCAATATAATGACAAAATTTTGGAATTTCGAAAATTGATTTAGAGACCTCAAATCACTTTGAATCTGAAAACAAACATCATCACTCGCCTCGGCGCGGTCGATTACCCCTATCCTGATCGATTCTATGCTGGTTGGAGGTCATTTGGTCGATTCAGAGCTCTCAGGAAAAAGCTTCTAGCTCCTGTTTGATAAAAATCCTATAATAGTAATGTGGCAATATCTTCAATGCGTGTAAGTCAAACGATTTGATATTTGGAGTATAGATACTAGAAGTTATGATGGTTCTTTTGCGTTTTCCGCATCTCAAAATACCGATGTGATGTTGAGTTATAGTTAAAACAAGATCGTACGAATAATTTTTGCCGACAAATTGCTTAGTTTTTTCAGTAAAATAGTAATATCTCCAACATGTATATGTCAAACGCTTTGATATTTATAGCGTAGATACTAGAGGTCATGGCGGTTCTTTTACTGCTTTTCATGTCTCAAAATACCAATGTGATGTTGGGTTACTATTAAAACAAAATCGTACGAATAATTTTTGCCGCCACTGTACATAGACTACTATCTATTCAAAAATAATAAACATATATAACAAGGAGATTATTAGTAAAACCTATGGTCTACTATATGAAATCACTAACGAAGAAAAGCTCTTACCTTTTTGTCCTTTTAATCTAATTACAAACATGCACTCCGCGCGAACAAGAAGTAAAGACGATGGGCAGTCTTATAAAATCTAACATGGTGTGTAGCAGTGTATCAAACCGTTGGAACCTGATCCAAAGACAGTAAACTGAGGTATGAATATTAACCACACCTATTCAAATCTTCTGTATACAACCAGTTTTATCTGTGTAAATAAAATAAAATAAAATAAAATAATACTCGAAGTTAATTTCTATTAATTATATAATAGTTGGATCTTTTTAATAGAGCTTTCAGATTCAACCGTCCCATCATCAGTATCAGTCTGATGTTGTATTTTTGCCTAGTAAAGTTCAAATTAAATCAATAATAGAGATATAATACTGATGATGGGCCGGTTGAACTCGAATGCTCTATTAAAAAGATCCAACTATTATATAATTAATAAAAATTAACTTCGAGTATTATTTTATTTTATTTTATTTAAATATATCATATATACAAGTTCTATTATATTATCATTATATATCATATCAGTTTTATCTACCCTATCTGATATAGCTAGTGCACGTTGGTGGGCTTTTTAAAAAGCTCAAAAGTTTGACAGAATTTAACTGAAAATATGCTTTTTTCGAGTTTTCACAGTCAAATGAAGCATGGTGAAGTCCAGTAATATTCTAGTGAAACTTAATCAAATTGAGTCAGATGCTAGTTCAATCCGGTGTAATCCTATAAAATCTAGGTAAAATCTAGTCGAAATCAGTCAAATTTTGCTCAAACCAAGTCATATCTGTGTTAATCTTCTTGAAATCAGGTCAAATTTTGTCAAGTCGAACTCAAAGCTCGCCAAATTCACTAGAAACCTAACAAAATCTAGTCGAGTCCTCGTTAGACCCAGCTTAATGTAGTCAGATTCTGGTCAAATCTAGGCGAAATCCGGTCAGATCCGGTCAAATCCTGGTCAAATCTAGATCAAATCTGGTGAAATCTAATAAATTCCGACTCAATCCTGTCATTTCTGAACAAATCCAGTGAAATCTTATTTAATCCTATAAAATCTAGGTCAAATCTGATGAATTGCAGCTTGATCCTAGTGAAATCCAGTCAAAACAAGACAAGTCTACCCAGATCCTGGTCAAACCTTGTGAAGTCCAGTCAAGTCTAGCCAACTCTTGTTAAATTCAATAAAAACCTTGCTAAATCTAGTCAAATCCAGTCAGATATAGTTAGATCCTAGTCAAATTCAATCAAACTGGGCACAAGATAGTCGAATCCAGATTAAGTCTGTTCAAGACCTATCAGCCCTCAGTCAAACCTCGCCAAATAAAAGTAAAATCCAGTTAAACCCAAATCCAAATCTAGTCAAATCCTGTCAAACCCAAGATTTGGGTTTGACTGGATTTGGTGCACCCCTAGTCTGACATGAGTGAACGAAGGCTTCTTGGAACAATTGTGTGAAAAATCATCATTGTTATAATAATGTTTGAGCGTTACTGTTTTGATACTAAGATATTGTTATGATGAACAAATTAATTATTTAAAATTGATAGAATTTCAAAACTGAAGTTTTATGTATTTCTTTATCATATTTTGCATAAAGCGTTGCGGCACAACACTCATTCTTATTTCTTTTTTCTCCAATGGTAATACTTTCCGTTTTATTCGGTCTTTTGTTGTTGAATTACTCGTTTTTCTAATAAAAGGTATAGGAAGAATATTTTTACCTTGGTATTTTCTTTATCGCATACATGAAGTTCTTTTCATGAAGTCTCATTTGTTGACGTAACTGATGTATGTCAGTTTTCTCTTATCGCAATCTAGATACTTTTATGAATGATTACGGCTCGGATGCCTGTATTACTTTAAGTTGAATATTTTTTATATTTCATCAGTGAAAATAGCTCAATGGTATTAGTTATATTGTTTCTTGTAGAATTTAAATAACAGTGTAGTTACGAATTGCATTTTCCTTATATTAATTTGCGTTTATTTTTATTCAAGTTTGTGTGGCAATAATGCCCAAATCCATCATTGCACTTCACTGATACTCAAATTTTGAAGCATAATGAAGTATTTAGAGTATATTGCCAGACAGACTTATATAGAATGAGCTCAAACTAATATGTTCGCGGCACGTGTTGATATTAGATTTGACATGATTCGGAAGTTATAAAGGAAACCTTTGGCACTGTCTTGAAGTACATTGCAGTACGGAATGTTTGCTTTTTTATTTCTTGAGTATTTCTTATGATCTATAGAACAGACTATGACGGAATCAAAAACAAGCCCTTCCGAAACGCTGTGGGTGGATATGGTGATAGAGAAGAATTAATACTACACTCATATCCTCGAGGAGAGTTTTCTCTTTACTCGTACCAACACATCTACCACATCCACTGAAACTCACCATCACACCTACTTCAAGACTCACGACCTACCATACACGCATCCGACAATAGATAGATTCAAACCTGAGTATTGATTTTGTATCTATTTTTGCAAGTTGGAAAAAATCAGCTGCCAACACTCAACGAGATGCACCGTTCTCTATTAGTTAATCGACTTTTTTATGCACAAATGAAAAGATCTTCCCAAGTGCATCCATGTAAACATATAAATTTTTCACGAAAAAGAGCAAGAGAAAGAACGTATATCCAGCAAATTTTCGTTGTTCTCTGTAATCACATATCCACACCCGCTTTATGCCGATGAAGCATCTTTTCATTTGGTTTATTTTGACGAAGAATCAGTATTCATACAAAATTTAGAAAGTTTACTACGAGTTTCAAACATTGCTCTCCAAACGTAACAAACGTCAACCCTTTCTCTGAAGTTTTTCTAGGTATTCCTTCCGTTTTTGATATTCAGCATGATCGGAGCCAAATGCCTCTTTAGCAATATCGACAGCTATCTTAGCATGTTCAATAGCCTCATTGTATCGTTTAAGGCTTTCCAATACTCCTGCGATGTTGCCATGAGTCACGATTGATGATGGATGATTGGATAGAAGAGATTTTTTTTGGATTTCCAGTGCCTTTTGGTAATATGAAAGTGCGGTAGAACTATCACCCATTTTTCGATATACTAAACCAAAGTTATTATACGTAGTAGCAAGAGATGAATGATGAGGTGGAAGGTAATCAAGTTTGATTTCTAGTGCTTCTTTATAATTCTTGAGTGCTTCAGAATATTTGCCTTGATCATCGAGTACCGATCCAATATTATTGTAATCAGTAGCAATCTCTAATGGATTAGGTTCTGGCATTCCAAGATCGATCTTGAGAGCATGTTCATAATATTTCAATGCTCCATCAAGTTCACCTACTCTTTTAAGAATTCCCCCAATATTCGAGTATGTACTAGAGAGTCGAGGATCATTAGATGGCATATAACTTTGGCTAATTTCAAGAGAATGTTTGTAATGAGAAAATGCTCGAGTTAAATCGTCTTGTTGTTTGTAAACATATCCAAGTTGATTGTGAAGGAAAGCACGTTCTGCTTTGTCATCACAAGATATTGTTTTGAGTAGTGTATTATAGATTTCTTCAGCTTGTTTAAATTTTCCCATCTTGATCGTTAATTGACCGAGTCGACGCCATCCATTTCCGTCTCCAAGTGAAACTCGCATGTGATCAGTAAGACGAGTGAGTAGTGGATCATTGTCATTTGTTAAGGTTAAATTAACTTCCCATAACCAGTTTTCTATTATCTTTATCTCACCAATTCGAAATACAGTGGACATTGAGAAAAGAATTTCATCTTCTGATTTAACAGCACTTAAATCGCTTATTGGAGCGAAGGGAAACGATGAGATGGAAGAGTTAATTTTTATTTGAAACAAAATGCATGTAGTATTAGGTTCATTTTTATTAAAACCAGCAAAATGCAAGGCAACTTTTCTCCTGGTGCTCGTCGAGAGAAAACTGTTGAAAGATAAAAGACCATCTTTGGCTTTCTTCAGCTTTTCAAAATAGTCGTTGGACACGCCTTGTCCTCGAAAGACAGTAAGTGGAATTGTATTAGCAACTAAGTTGGAATGAAGTTGTTTGATTTGTTCATGAAGGTCCCGAATGAAAAAGCCCATTTTAATAAGAAGCTCAATATCAACTGTTCTTAAGGCGCTGTTAAGCATCTTGTATAAGAAACTCTCTTCAGTGTACCACCAAATTGGCGACTTTTGACGATATTCTTCTTTAAATTGATCAAATGTTTTTGTTTCTCTGCTAGTCTCTTGATAACGTGGACGGCAATAATCTATGAGTTGTTCTATTTCCATTTCATAATTAAATTGCATTGTTAAAATATTTTCTTTTAATAATTGACAATACATGAATGCTGGATCGAGCTCATTCAAATTATTTACAGATCCTTCAGTAACGATACTAATTGGTATTAAATCATTATTTAAGTGATGAACTGTTTCTTTAAGTACCTTACAAAGTGCTTCAATTTGATTAAAAGTTCCTTTAATTTTTATGTATGCTTCGGTCCATTGTTCATTTATTGATTTAAAATTGCTAAATATATAAATTGAATCAACTTGAGTGAATTTTTGAACGACAGAAGCGATTTGTTGCGCAAGAGAACTTGAAACAATTAAAAATACTTTTACGTCTTTAATTTCAACGAGAGCATTAATGCATTGATCGATATCAGTAAAGAATTCGATCATATTCACAATAGATCGAATTTGAGAAATTATTTTTTCATTTAAGTTATTTAAATTCGATTCTAACCAAAATACAATAAAATTCTCATTAATTTGAAGCTGTGATTGTTCTAATACTATATTCTTCGTGGCAGATTGTACTTGGATGTTAGTAGGTTTGGATGAAGGCTTAGAAGTAATTGATTTTGAAACTGTATTTGTTTTTTTCGTAGACGTTGTGCTAAATTTTGAGTTCTTTTGTGCCATTATATGCCTGTAAAAAAAAATATAATAAAATTATTCTAAACAATGAATTGGATCATTTCAACCTACTTGATTGTTTTTCAAAGGCTCGTAAGGCCAGCAAGTGAAATAAAAAATAATTAATATTTTTATCTAGAATTAAAATTTACTACAATCTTTAATAAGAATCTTTGTGTGTTGTTGTCCTATGTATTCAAACCAGAAAAATATAAATCCTTCACATTTTCACATGATCAATGCACTATAGAGAATAAAATAAATCAAAACAAGAAAAATTTACTGTTTATAGTCAGATTCTGAAAAAATGTTCATCTGATTCTTTCGATCAGATTTACAGATTATATCAACTATTCCAAATCATAATGCTAGAAAGTGTTTCCACATTAAAGATAGACATGCTTCAATCTATTCGACATTTGATCCAGACCAAAATTAAGCTAATATGATAATGTTTAGAGAATTCTGCAAAATATGCAGAGATTTTAAAATATTGTTCATTGCAGATGTAAAACATCTTAATTTGTAACTAAATAGTTTTGCGATATATTTGATTGTTGTTTTTTTTTTCTAGAGTAAGTTTTTCATAATTATGAAACATGGACGAAAAGCATCAATTCACTCCTGTCTAAATTTTGAATAACTACCAGAAAAGAAAAATAGTTTCACCTTCCTAAGAGTCACACAAAGTTTCATGTCTTATTCTTTTCTACCTTGAAATATCTATTTATTTATCATTAGCTTCTCAATAATATATGAGAGGATGTTGATTTCTGCTTTTACAATCAATGTAAATGATCTCAGAAGTAGTATATAATACATTTTCTAGTTGTTTTAAAACTAGTAATGTCCATAGCATAGCTGATTTCATCTATTAATCTATATATTCCTATGAGTTTTGAAAAATTGTCAAGAGAATGTCACATAAAACTTCACATTTGTATCAATATAAGATTTATTTCCTGATATATTCATAAAAGTTTTTTAGTCTTCTGCAACAAAAATCATTCATTCAAAACTTGTCATAGGTTAGGATGGTCAAGCCCTTATAAATTCACAGTATAGAGATAAAAGAATTATTCAATAGTTTCACAGTTAATTCTGTTTGATTTTATTCTCTTGAAAACATAATATTTGGGACCATTTTGTATTGAAGGATCTTTGTTAGGTCAATCTCTCTAGCATCAAAATATCAACGAATCTCATTGATTAGTAAATCTTTTAATATTTCATTGCAACGTGCAAGATTTTTGATTGCGATAGACATTTCTAAAATGAATTAACAATTCCAGAAAAAAATATTCTAAAATTTTAGTGTAATCTACCATATAAAAAATTTGTCTTATATCTACTAGTTTTGTGAATAAAATGAATTGAAAGATCTTACAAATTCAAGCATTGAAACCGTACAAAAAAAAAAGTAAAGGATAATTGTCGTCAATTGATGGAAAACGTCATCCAAGTCCATCGTCATTTTTAATCGATCTTTGATTTGATGTAATCAATTTCTTTTATCAATACTTGACAGGCAAAATTAAAATTCAAGTCTAAGAAATCAATACATTTTCTCTGACCAATAATAATCTTCAACCATCCTGTAGGCTGATATCCAGCTTCTACTCTAACTGGAATAATTGGTCGTTTACGTTTTTGTGCATATTCACCTTCCAATCGACATACTGATGATTCTCGATACTTGTTTGAAAAACACATAATAACAATATCTGCTTTCTCTATTGCTGTAGCAACAACTTCTGGATCGGCACTGTGTAAATAATGTTTATTCATCCATAGTTGATATGGTTTTAATGCTTTTAAATTATCAAAAATTTGATGACATATTTCTTTATCATCATGACAATGACTAATCATGACATATGTATCTCCTATTTGAAAATCAGATAAATTAAAACGATAATCACCTCTAATATATTGATAAGGAGCTTTTGATTCATCGAATTTAACACTTGGTATAATATTTTCAATAATATCTTGTTTTTTTTCTTTATTTTCTTCTTCATTTTTAATAAAATTTTGTTCTTCATCAATTTTCCATTGAAGAGCATTTACTGTCCATCTTTGTGTCATATTATTCGAAATAGATTCATCATGAAGAAAATCAATAAATGGATCAATATTTTTTATTTTTTCAATAGCAACATCTCCAACAAATGAAACTGATAAAATAATTCTTAGAGCTGGTTGTCGAATATCATCATCGGAATCTTTATCATATGCACATCTTGCAATTAATGGTATACCTTGATCATCATTAGCAATCTCTTCTTTAACTTGATCATTTTGAACAATTGCTAAAGTAAAAAAAAAGGATTTCATTTTTGTCGATATGTATCTGAATTAATCTATCAAATATTGAAGTTATAGTCAAGGTAAATAACAGAAAACTTATGAAATCCTAGACGTAGGAACACAATGCCCATTTATTCATTATCTGATCATTTTTCAGAGTTTTTCAACAAGAATCAGATGTTAGAACTATCTGTTTACAAGGTAAGATATGGAATCGTAGGCTTCTTTTATCATCTGAATTCTCAATAAGTGTTTTCCTATACATTACTATTGAAAAGAACTAGCATATGAAATAAAATATTTAGTTTGGATTTCTTTTTTGTATGTCTTACTTTTCTAATACAAACAGTCTCAAGATTAGAACCAATCAATAATTTTTTAACAGTTTTTCAGAGTTTCTATAAAGTTTATTACAAATCTGAAATCTTACTAACATTCGCCGTTTCTTATAAACAAGTGTTTTATTATCTCTTGTATTCTAAAGCAAAAAATATAGCCAAATTTAATAAAATAAATACGATATAATCCATGATAAATTAATTTCATTAGAAATAGGTTAACCTCATAATGTGAACTTCTTGAATCTGTTTGAAATTTTATAAAGACTAAAGCTTCAATTCAAACTATAGAGTGAATGAGCTCTGACATCTTATACATATAGAGAGTCATTAAATCTAACTTTAATTTTAAACATTAGTTCTCAAAAAGATAGATTTTTTCAAGTTTCAGTAGATGTATATTTGAATTAAAATTTTTGAAATTAACATACTTTCAAGATTAGTCAATACACCATTTAATTTTACTCCATGATATATACGTGATGGTTCATCAATCATATTTTCAATGTAAAATAAATAAGATTGAGCAGATTTTGATGGATTATTTATTTCATCAATATCTTTTTGATTTAAAATAGCAGATAATGTATATGATCCAAATTTTATTGTTTGATCTTTTGCTTGTTGTAATTGTAAACAAGCAGCTAAAACATTTGTATTTTCTTTTAATCGAAAAAAAATTTTCTTTTCAAATATTAAATTATATAATAATGTTATTGCATATGATACAAGACCAACATCAGCATGAAATAATTGATGATTAAGTGTAACACTTTCAATTAAAGATGGTCGTGATAATATTATTACCATTTGATCAATGATTTTTTTATTGTTTCCTGAAAGTAAAAACAAATAAATATAGTCTTTTGTATGTATATCATATTATAGATTGCAGATAAACAAAACAACTTATGTATGATGGTCAGATGATTTTAAAAGATATGATAAATCTGCTCTTAAAGGTTGTCCTTGCGATACAATGAATCGGTACTTTCATAGTATTATAGAATAGAAATCAAGCTTTTGATTGTAAACTAATTATCAGTAAATGACTTTGACATCAATATGATACAATAAAGTTCTTCGCATACCTAAAATGAAATGTTTTCTTGTTGTTGGTGTTAAAGCAATATGATTTAATAATTTAATATGTAAACTAATTGCTTGTAATTTTGCTCCTCTTATGCGCACATCGTTTTTTAAATTCTCTCCTTCTAATGAAATAGGTAAATGTTGTTTAAGAATATCTCGACTATAGTCTAACATAGGTGAACATAATGAATCGGATAGTTGATCATGTTGTTTTAAACAACGTTGAATAATAAATTCTGCACATTCATAAATAAAAAATAATTGTTTAGGATTAAAATTTGTTTGACGAAGATCTATGGTTTTAAAAGTATTAAAATAAAAATTTGATTTTAAACATTGAATAATTGGTTGAATCAATAAACTATGATCAATTTCATTTAATTCAATACAAAGATGAAGTAAACGATGAATAACTTTATATTTAACATGAAATGGTTGATAATCAATAATAATTAAATCATCTGTAATTAGTTTAATAAACTTTTGAAAAAATGATTTTGTTAAAAATATTTTTTGATATGATATAGGATTATATTTTTCTTCATTAGTAGGATTTAATTTTTCATTATTAGCAATAAAAAAATTTGATGTTACTATATTTTTATGTAAACATAAATTGACTATAAAATAACTTAAATCATAAAAATATTGTTCATCATCTTTTGTCATAGAAATTAATCTTGCTTTGAATAATAACATTTCAAATGTACGTCCAAGAATAATAAAAAATTCATGATTCATAATTTCTACATTATCAAATGGGATAAGCATATGAATCGATGATAATTCATTGCAAATTGTAGTTAATTCATATAAACCATTTGCTCGATTATTAGTCGTATTTAAAAATAAAACAATCTCATCAAGTATTTCTTTGACCTTTTCAATACTTAATAATGAATGTTGTCTTCGAAGTTGATCAATAACAGCTAACGGTCGTTTAAGTATTAAATCCATTTCAATATTAAAAAAATTATACTCTATCCTTTTATCTAAAGTATATTATTGAACATAGATAAATTTACACTAAAATACTTATTAAGTACGATCAGAAATGTACACAGCACGATATTAAGCCGAAATGAACAACGAGAAAAGTTGCTATTGATACAGTAGCAGTCAAAAACCTAGTTTCGAATTTCACAATCGTAATTGTATTAACATGGGTATAAGTCTACGTCTGAGTGAGCATGTTCCATCCATTCTCTACGGATACCCACACCCAGCCTAGTTTTCCTGAGAATCTAATCTAGAAAATTGTTTGTTCGAAGTCGCTAAAGTGCAAGGACGAGTTCGAATTTGGATGATCTATTCTCAACTACTTTCGGGTCAATTTTTATTGAAAACGATGAAGTCAGATACGATAACATTTTGCTAGGTACGAGAGTCTTGGTCTCGGTAGGTGTCTAATTTATATGTCTGCTAATTTCAAAGAAGTGATTTTTCACATGTTCATAAATAGCAAGCAAACATTGAAAATGCATGAAGACTCAAAGAAAAAGGATGACGAGCAGGAAACGATCCAAACTTCTAAACAATTTCGGTTTGATTTTAAGCTATTTTATTGTGAAAATATGAGCTCTAACGATTGAATTTTCGATGTCTTTTATCTACTTTTAAGATTTATTGTATTGTGATATATAATTTTCTTCACAGCTCCACACTTTCGACAGTACATCATTATGATGTAGATACTACGAATATAGTCTTATGTCAGAAGATGGGCTCATTTAGTAATGTTTGAAAATAAAATTTTATGAAATATATTTAGTATTTGATTCCAAAAGAATAAACTGTTTTACAATCGTTTCTACGAATTAAGAATTACTGGCTACCGATCGTTTATAAATAAAAAATAAGTATTGCTTTTCATTTTTATTACCTTATAAAAGTATCCAAATTCATTAGAGTGTAAAGGTAAAAAAAAAGTTTGTATATTTAATGATAAGTTAGTTTGTTTGTTTTACTGGTTGTCTTGATGATGATGATGCATTACAAAGTTTCTCGAATTCAAGTATATTTTGTATTTTTTGTTGAATAAAATCTGCTCTATGTGGTGAACGATGTTTAGTTTTCCAACGTTTATTATTTGGATTATCAAGTTCATTCTGTCTTCGTATTTCTTTTCTTGTTTTCAATTCATTTCCAATTTTTCCTTGTAAAATATTTGAATCTGAAGCAATTTTATTTTCATTAATATTTCTTATTAATTCTACAGTTTGTTCTATTGTACGATCCCAAAGTGTTGATTCTTCCTTAGCTTTTTCCGTAGGTTTTTCCTTTTGTTTTACTCTATACTGTTTTAATATTAGACTATCTTGTGTAATATCCCAACCAGTTGTACCTTTTTTAATTTCTGTTGTAAAATTTGTATAACTAATAGCTTTGAATAGCTTCATATCTAATCTATTATTCTTTTTAATAATTTGTTGAACAACTTCTGGAATTTTATTTTGTCTATTTTCTTGTAATCGAACATCTCGATCAATTAGTTTTTGAAAATAATAAGATGCTTCACGTTGATTATACCATGAACCAACGATAGATGATAAATAATTCCAATCATTGTTCTCTATTGTATGATCTAAAGGTGGATATTCATTTATTTTCCACCATGCTTTTTTATCTTTGTATATAATGGGGAATACAGCATCATTAATGTCTCCAGTTAACGTAAATGGTGGTATATTACCCAATATGACACTTCCATTTGATGCTTTTTCAATCCAGCGTTTGATCGATGATAGCAAAGCGATAGTATAATCGTTCATTTCATATGTATTTTCTGAAAGTCGAAAAAAAAACATGTTCCACAAATATGAATACATATTCAATGTGTGTCTATAGACAAAAATCTAAATATTAGAAAACCAATCATTAAAAAATTTTCTCAAAAATTTCAATCTTTCTCTATAAATCGGTGTAATCCGATGTTATATATTATTCTCAAGATATTTTTATGAGCTTTGTTATTATTCATATCAGAGATGGATAAAATCGCACCGCGCCTCCCCACGCTTCCCCGTGCCACTGCTCGCGCCTAGGCGCTACGCACATCTCTCTTTCTCTTTGCTCTACCAATCAGTTTCTCAAACTCCACCGAATACCCGGATGCTCTAAGCGTGCGCTCATCGAAGCTCAGATTAGTGTAGCGTAGGCGTGAGCAATGGCGCGGGGAGGCGCGGTGCGACTTTGTCCATCTCTGATTCATATTCTTGTAGAACTCTATCGAATTATGTAGCCGTTAATATTCTTGTTTTTGCAAAAAAAAAACTTGTAAAATATTCAGTCATGTTTAATAAAGTAATCATAATTTCTAATGATCTTTATAGAATTCGAACTGTTTTATTTTCATATGATATCTTTAATTTCATTCTACAAAACTATATCACTCAATTTTTTCTTCATTTTCTTGATAAGCAACGAACGAAAAATCTTTATCTATCCAAAATTTGTAAGTTAATGAAATAGATTAATTTACCTTCGTCATTTTGTCTAGGTACGTTTTCATCACTTTTTTGGGATTCATTTTTATCATTACAAAAATCATTATTTTGATAATCTTCAATAACTATTTTTGCAAGTTCAATGAATTCTTCTAAAACATCAGGAGGAATCTTCTCTCGTTCAATTAATTTTTTCACTTTTTCTTCATAAATTTTTCTTCGTTGTTCGATTTGTTCGGTAGTTAATTGTAATGATGGATTTTGTCTTTCTGATGTGTCTTGTTGTTGATCTTCCTTAAAAATATTTTGTAAATCTAAATCTATATAACCAACTAGACCAGGTTTTGTATGATGAAGCTAAAAACGCAAATTAAACTTAATTATATACTAATAAATGCTAAATTTCGAATAGAAAACTTCAATATATTATATTAAAAATTCGTGTTAGCAGTGAAGAAAGCACTTCGAACATATTATACTAATATTTGATTGATATAATAGAGATTTTTTTTTGTTTTTGTAAACTTACCAATTCAATTAATAATTTGTCATATTTTAAATCAAAATTTTCATCTAATTCGAATCGAATTTCTTTTTCAAATAATTCATAATATAATTCTTGAGTAATAATATATTGAATCCAATTTTCTTCTAAGAAATTTTTTGTTAATAAAACTGGAAGAATTTTTTTTCCAAGTGTTTTTGCATATTTTAATTCTGTTAAACAATTTTCATCTATTGAATAATTTTGACTAAAAAGAACAAGTATTAAATCTGATTTTTGAAATTTTGATCGACTTGTACCAGTTAGTGGACCATAATGACTAATATATATTAAATAACCTTCATCAATTAGACGATCGGCAAGTAATTGTGAAAATATTTTATCTTTAATAGAACAACTTATGATAATATTAAATGCATCTGACATATTACCAAAAATTTGCATTGTAGATGTTAATCGATGTTTATTTAAATATAATTTTTCTAAATTTGTAATTGATGCTAGATTTTTTTGTTTTGTAATTTCTTCGATATATTCATATTTTTGTTTCATTTCATTAATAGCAGATAGTGAACCAATTAATATTAATCGTCTATTATTGAGAATTATTTTTGGTAAAACAACTTTATCCAAACAATATTTATAAAATACATTAATTAAATATTGATTCCAAATTTCAATATTAAAAGCATGATCAATTTCAATTGTTGCAAATTTTGATTTATGTATATAATTATTTATTGCTTGTCGACATTTAGAAATATTACTATCTTTTGATGCTATTAAATTTATTGTAATACCTGAAATAATATATTATAATTATTGAATTAGAACAAATTTTGCTAAATCAATATTTAAGATAATTTAGGTTTATAGAACTTTTTTAAAAAAAAAGTAGTTCTCATGGACACAAATAAGGATTTTTATTTGAGTTTAACATCAAAAAAATAACAAGATAATATGGAAATCTGATTTATGTCTTATGAAAATTAGACATTTTTTTTTTCATTTACATACTTGATATAGGATAGAAAAATTGTTCATAATGATGAATTCTTGTTGTTAATAATAATATTGTTTGTGAAAATTGTTGATATAAATCAATTTGTTTATCATTAAATATAAATAAAATTCTCCAATGATGATTAGAAAATTTATTTGTTTCAAGTTGAACTTTTATTTCATGAATAATTTCTTCTACTAACTGTTTTCTATTCCAATAATTTTCCCATTCATCTATAGAAAACTCAATTGTAATTTCTTTATTAATACTTAAAAGAGAAATATCTCGTAATGAATTTGAAATAAAAATTTTTAATAAATTTTTAAATTCTATATCATTTTGATCATTGTTCACTTGAGACCAATGTGGTAAACTGTAAATAAGTTTTACAGTTTTATCATTATCTTTTTTATTATGTAAACTATTGCTATTTAGTTTACTATCATCTTCGATATCATCATTTGTCATCATTGAAACTATAGTAATATCTGCCTAAAATTGAAAAGTAAAAAATGAATTATATTTAAAAAAAGAAGTTGTTAGCTAAATCTCTGCGAGATTGAAATGTAAAAGAAGAAGAAAATTTCATTGTCAGAGTATCAAAATTCTTTGATGTTGTTTTTCTTAACCTTCCAGAAATGTTATAAGAAACTAATATCGGCGCCAGAAGTCAGTGCACTCGGATGGTTTTTGAATAACTTTCGAAAGAACAAGTTAGAAATCTGTGGTTTTCAACAATCGAAAGAGGAAACATGAGGCCGTCTTTTTCTTCGAAAATGTATAAGACAAAATCTTTTTAAAATCAATCATCTCCGGAAAACATTCGAAAAAACGCATGAAACTGGTCTGCCGTTCTGATGAAATTTTGAAAAAGAGCAAAAAAAATTTAGCTGAAAATCAGCACAATTTCGTATTATTTGAGTAAGCCAGTACATGATTTCATTGGTTCAACGTTAGAATGTGAAACGATAACAAATCGCATTGTGTCTTGAACTAGAGAACTGAAGTCCCTCCATCCAAATCATATGTCAATATCAAAATTTCATCAGAACGGCAAACCAGTTTCATGCATTTTTTCGAATGTTTCCCGGAGATGATTGGTTTTAAAAAGGTTTTGTCTTATACATTTTCGGAGAAAAAGATGACCCCATGTCTCCTCTTTCGATTGATGAAATCCGCAGATCTCTAACTTGTTCCTATCAAAAATTATTCAAAAAACATCCGAGTGCACTGACTTCTGGCGCCGATATTAGTTAATATATTTTAATGAACTACTATCGATATACGATCTATGGGAGAGGGAGATGAACGTAAATCTGAACCCTGTGTATTTGCATACTTCTTTTAGATTGTGGTTTACAAAAATATTCAAAATTTACCTTTGGTGCTGTGCTGTCATGGGCTAAATGAAGTTCTATTGTACTGTTTGATATTAATGTTTTTTTCAATATTGATAAAGAATAATAAAATTCTTTTGATTGTTTAATAATAAATTTTGATGTTGATTTTGATGTGGATGTGTTTGTTATTTTTGGTAATGTGACAAGTTCTTTCTTAGTTTGCAAATCTATTTTATTAATTTGACAATGAAATTGTTGAGCTATTTCTTCTAATTGTAATTTTTCATCATTTGTTAATATAGAATTATTTGTAATATATTGAAAAGTAATTGGATATTGTTGATCAATTAAATTATAAATTCTTTGTTGAATTTTTATTTTTAAATAATCTGGAGCATATAATTGATTTTCTCTTATTTTTATTTTGACATTATCATCTTTATATTCAAGTTCAATATTTTCCAATTGATGAATACAATTATCTAATAGATAATTACGCTAAAAAATAAAAAAGAACTAAATGAATGATATTAAAGAAAAATCCTAGAATCCTATCGAATTTTATTCAACATAACATTCAAATGAAGTATATTTCGAAATTTGTTTGACTACACTTCATTTAGTAATTATTTTGGAAAAATATTCGCAGATGTTTTACTTTAATAATCTATACTAATCAGTTATTCATTCCTACCAATGATCTGCTTCATTATCTGCAAGTCAATTTTTTCTAAACTAGCATATCTATTGAATCAGTTTAAGATTATTACATAATCAATTTTATGTAATACATACTTGTGTAAGAGTCAAGTCAGTTGTCAATATAGTTAATTGATTTTGGCTTATTATGTATTTTAGTTGTCTAGTTGCACGTTTTACTAAAAACGTTTGTCCAAAGAAACTAATTTTTAATTCTGTTTGTCCTGGATAGATACAATAAATGATTGTATATGTTTCCAATTGATGTTGTTCTTGTTTCTTTTTAGTAATAAAATGTTCTAATTTTTTTCGAAAATTTTTTTGTATATTTTCGAAATCCGATATAATTATATCTCGTACATATAATATATTTTTATTAATTATTTGATTTATATAATCTTCTGACAAACTAAAAACATCAATTTTAGTAAAATAATGAACAACATAATATCCTGATAATATATCCGTCTTTTCCCATACAGTAAATAGTTTTTCTTTATCAAAAATTTTTTGTATAACAGTAACATCAAAATCACAATAAAGATTTTTTGACCAATAAATAACTAAAAATACAAAAAAATAAAATAAAATAATGACAAAATAATTTGATTAAAACATTGCTTACCTTTTTCATCTGTTTCTTCATTGTTAAAAATTTTTTTATTAACATTTTCAAATAATATTTGTAGATCACTATAAGCATTTTCTAAATTTTTTTTTATACCTAATAATTGTATTTGTATTCCTATATTTTCTTTTTGTTCATCTTCTGATAATATATAACATTTTAAATCATATGTATTTGAAATATATTGTATTAAACTAGAACAAAATAATTCATTTTTAAAAAATTTCAAATTAATATCCATTGGTTCAATAGAATATGTATTTGAATATGTTTTTATATCACTGATTGGTTTATCCAATTTTTTTGGAATATCGACAGATGATGTGACAAGACTAGATAAAAGAAAAAGAATTAAAATATGAGTTATTAATATCTTGTTGATAGTTTAGAGGTATAAAAAACTTGTAGCAAAGCAAGTCATGTAAAAACTATTTAGATATAAGTCTATATGTATAATGCACAAACATCCTAATATAATAGAAGTATTTGAAACTAATTTATATCCTCATTCTAGGTTTTATGAATTTGTTTATATGTCAAATATACTTACTTTTTTTCATATACTTTGTCTATTGAATTCATGCTAGTCGTAAGAGTGACTACAGTCGGGACTGTATCAGAAGGCATTCTAAAATGTGAAGAAAAATGTGTGAAAAGATGATCATAAAGAAGAAGCTCTATTTAAATTAATTATCTCTATTAAATCTTGAATTTTTATTTGATATTTAATGACATACATTGGTTGCTGATGTGTATCAATGTCATTCACTTTTGAAACTACTTTCAAATCAGAAGGTACTTTAGTTTTGCTAGATGATGGAACACTAGACAAGATAAATAAATATTTAGATAATATGACAAATGAAATAGACGTTGATATGTAGATTATTTACCGTGTTTTTTTCCTCTGTTTATTTCTCTCAAATTCATATTTTGCTTTCCATACTTCTAGTTCTGCTTTAAATATACGTTTTGTTCGTTGTGTTGGTTTTTTTGCAATACCATCTTGATTTAATACAGATAATAAATTCTCAAGTTGATCATCATTCACTTTCATTAGAGCTTCACCATCAATATTTTCGTCTAGTATGAAGGAGTAAATGACAACATACCTTTAATTCAGGTAGTTCACTTACCTTTAAACCTTGGTATACATTTTTCAAAGCCATTCTTGTTCAACCATTGGCTAACTCGATCTACTGTCCAATTTTCCATCAATAAATCTAAAATATTTAAACGATCAGAATTACGGGTGTGAGTGTGAACTTGTTGGGTATGGATGAGTGTGAACGAGTGATGATGAGAAGAAGATCAAGACCCACATCCATAACCGTTAGATTTTGAAAAGATCTGTCTTAACCTAACCCAGTTCGCCGCTAATGTGTAAATATGTCAAGCAACATTTTACTCATTTGCTGACAGTGCAAGGCATCATATGATACGAGATTTACCAGCCAACGTTGTTGTTTATACGGTCACAGAGCCGGCTATGTTCATTTGTATCTGCACAAAAATTTTTTTTTCTTTATATTCGAATCCCATTAGCTGTGCACGACACGTATGCATTAATGCCCGGTATTCGATACTTTGTTTTTCAGTCATAAGAACTTTCCAAATTTTTCTTTCATATTTAAAAATATTCGATTTAGTTATGGGTATCTTCCTCAAAAAGCTAACTTCAAGGGCTTTTACGTGTACAATTTTTTTCTAATATACTTCGAGTTGTTTTTGTTTGAAAAGTTAATCATTACTGCTGCGGATGAGGGAAAGAGGTTTTTGCATTTTTACTTTGATGCATATTTAAGATTACTGGAATCTCAAAAATCTAGAAACCTTCGATATAGATTCCTAGAAAACTTAGGATTTCTCTAGCATTGAAGACAAATTGAAACCTATCTGGGGGTTCAGAAAAACCTATATAATATCTATAAATATTATTATAAAATCAATAAACTAAAGTGTATTCGAAAAGAGACACTTTGCTCTGCCTAACGAGCTATAAATCACCAAAACCGATAAATTTAGCCAAATTTGACTTTTTCTGAGGAGTGACGAGTCCCTAAAATAAGAAGAAAAAGAAAGCTATAATCTGACATTACCTCAAAAACTTAGTAAATCAATTGATTTATTATGATAAAAGTAATACCGATGCTAAACGTGACAAATATGGATTATTAAATGTACATCCTCAAGTATTCTAATCTATTCAGATACAATCAACTATTTTTCAGTTCTGTATCTAGAAAAAAAAATGTTAATTTTCAATAGGCAGGATTATCGTTGATTGTTAGGATGTACATAACTGTTGAGCCAAACTCGTGTACAAGATCATACTGAACATCCGGTCGGGAAAATTGATTTTCTACTTAGAACTCGAACCGACCCAAAATTTTGTATGCGATCCGATTGCAGGGCTCTAGTAATCATAAGTTTTTGTGACTACTGTAAATAGATCAAATTCGTTCGTCGTGATATCCCTGAATCTTGAAAACTTTCAACAAAATTCATCTGGCAAATTCAATTAAAGATAGAATGTCGTTTAGCTAAAAAACTGGGAGTACGTTTAATTGGTTTTTGGTGCTCTTATATGTTTTTTATGTTAATATAAAAGCATTAATATTAGTAATACATTAAACTAGCACTAATATTTGTGGGACATATGCAATCGGTATGAAACTCAAACTTACTTGGCTTATATAACTTTCGTTGATGCAATGTATCAGAATAAAGAGATCCAAAAGATACAAGTAAATATTATCATTCTCGTATCTGTCTTCATTTCAGTTTTCTTCAATATTCTCTTTTTCTTATCAAGAATAGCTTGTGTCCTTGTCCTCCTATCGTTGAAGCAAGTCGATTTACACACACAACAGTACTCAAAGAAAAAGTTGAAGAATCAAGAGTAACAAGACGCCAAACGATAAGAGAAAGCACCTTAACAATAAATTATTCCTTACTTGTAATCATCGAACGACCAACGATTGAAAAATATTGACCAAGTAAGTTTTGCAATATTCGAAACACTGCTAGATATAACAGTAATGTCACTGTTCAATTTTTATTGCTTATACTTGCAATGTTGATTTAAAGTGAAGGTTTACCAAAATTTTACTCAAGACAATCCGAAAATATTGATGAAGGTTGTATTAATTTCTTATAAACACCTGGAAAAGACTTTCTCTCTATATAAACTGATAGTAAAATTGATGCTCTATTCAACAATTGTTAAATTAATAAAGTTTTAATAAGAGCTGTTGGGCTACTATGTGTAGTGGTGAAATCAGTTCATATTGCCTTAAATATGCGTTCTCGTCTTGATTTTCTCTTCTTCTTCTCCTTTTTTCTTTAAGAACCTAGGTGTCAATGTGAATCTTTTCATGGCACAATAGACTCACACCTACACCCTACAGATAATTTCTACTCAACGATATTGTCTGTTCTGTACTATTCATCATATACTCTCTGAAGATTTTTTTTTTAGATATCAAAATCAATGGCAGATTGGACTATAGATCAAGTTGGTGAATGGTTGATAGAAAACGGTTTTGAAAATAATGTAAAAACATTTAAAGGTAAAACAAACTTTTTGTATTTAATTTATGTTACCTTTCTTTTATAAATTATTATATTAGATAAAAACATTGATGGCTTGGCTCTAATGAGAATGAGTGATGATAATATTTCACAAATGTTATGTACTTTTGATGAAGATGAAATTATTGAAAAACCAACAGATGAAGTAAAAACAAAATTTAAAGAAAAACTAGAGGATTGGAAAGTAATGGTTGAATTAGAACAAAATAAACAAGTGATCAATGAAAAAGCAGAAAAGTGAGCAAATTTAATATAAACATTCATTTTTGTTGTATATGCTTAGGTATTCAATTAGAATGTCTATTTCTTCACCGTCTATTAAGACTAGAGATTATTGGATGGATGAAGAGACCTTTTCAAATATGGGTTCTATGGAAGACAATGAAGAAAGCTCGTGAGTATATCGAAGTTTCATTGAAAAAATTTAGATTCGATCGTTTCTAACAAATCTACTAACATAATTATTCTCTTTGTTTTAGAAAGTCTGATGATTCCTTATCTTCTACTTCCTTTTTTAAGAATGATTCGCCTGATTTAAATAAAGTAATTATATAACACTTTTTGATAATTATGAATTCATGAAAATTTAGAATTTTATAATGATTGATGTTCATAGTAATTTCGAGTTAAATAATTTAGTTAGGGTGATTGCAAGACAAGTGTAGAACTGATAGACATTAAAACATGGCGATTATTGTGTTTATTTCTATGAAAAAAGAAAGCAAGTAATCTTCCACTTTTATTTTCTGAGAGATCATCGAATCAGTGTCAAACACGTAGCTACTAAACATCAACTGTCGGAATAAATAACTATATCTCAAAATTAAAGAAAAATCATTTTCATTCTCGATATTGAATGATTCTTCAAATTTTCTTACTACTAAAACCCACTGAACATTGAACTATTTGCCACAAGAATAAGACAGTTTTTTTTTCAGCTCAACAAGTTAAGGAAAATTCTTTCTGCGTTCGATAGTGAATGCTGTTTTGCTGACAGAGTGCGGAGCAACATTTTTTGAAGTAATTCTACAGTGTATCAAGTTGATGTATGAGAACAGCAGTGATTTGAACGAAAGAAAAAACGTCAAAAAAAGATAGATCGAAAGTGCTTTGAAACCATTTAGTCATTCTCATTGTCACCAAAGCTGCGTATATAATCTACAAGAGAACCCATATGTGGTACTTATCCATGCTTTGTATGACTCGAACCGTAGTAAGACAAGTAACATCAATATCTTTTACCTCTGTATGCTTATTTTTAACTTTGAATACTTGCCTGCATTTTTCTGCTCTTTCATGGATCACTAATTATCAGTTTGATCTTAATCATAGTGATATTCTCAAGACCTGAAATATCTTTTAAGGACATATTATAGAAAGATTAGATTTTAATTTTCCGACTTCTTGTATTTCCTCAGAATTTTTTATTTCCCGTTTTGCCTATATCTTAATAGATCGACTCACCAAAACAACATATGGTGAAGACACCTTCGCCGCCAATATCCCCTCATGAAGATCAAATAACTGACATTACTAGTAGTATTGATAAAACAAAATATTTAATTAATGATAATATTCATATTCAATTCTTCAAGAATCCAAAATTTGGTCCGTATCTAATAGAATATTTACAACAAAAAACATCTGGTGTGGAAATTACAATTGAACAATCACCATCTATAAATAATGAATTACCGTCATCATTCAGCTACACATTATATTTATCAGGGCCAAATCAAGATATTGAATCGACTTATGATGAGATCAGCAAATTGTTTAAAACCGTAAAAATAAAAATATATAAATCGGGTCGAGGTAAAAACTTGACATTATGTTTATTAAAGTTCAAGGTTTACAAGTTAAAATACACTAAAAAAGAAATTTTAAACATTAAAAATTTTCAGACAAATTGAAGATGAGAGAGAGAGAGAGAACATAGATCGATTCCGATAAAAAAATCTACGATAATTTTCCCATGGGAAACAACTAGTATATTTTTCTGTATTTAAACAAAATATCATATCATAAATTATGTGGTTCTTTTTGATATTTCAGTTAGAACATGGTTACGCAATCCATTAGCAGTTGGTATTATACAAGCAATAATGGATAATGAAAATAATCTATTTACTATATGTCAATCGAATGGAAGATATAATGAAATTCTGGAAATTTTTTATTTTGATGATGAAAACTTTAATCATCTTCAAAGTATTGATCATATTATTGAAAATGATATTCTAAAGAAGATTATTACACTACCATCAATAGTCAATAAACACATTTTAAAAAAATCTAAAAAAAATACTAAACATAATATTCAACATGAATATTCTATTACTTACACAAAACAATATCAAAATAAATTAAAGGAAATGATAGAGAATTATAATAAAGAAAATAATATGATTTCTATTATTTTAAATGAAAAAATGTATAATAAAGTAAGAAAACAACGGAGTATTCATATATTTGGATCTATCAAATTAGTTAATGAATTTATACAAAATTTTCAAAATTTAGCTGATAAAGATACATTGACAATCTTCAAATTTAATCCAATGACATCGATTCAAGTAAGTATTTTCTGTTTTTATATAAACAACGTTTTGAGAGAATAGAAAATATAAAATCCTGTGATCAAATCCTAGATCAACTTAAACATTTCCCCTTAGCTCATATCAAATTCGCACTTTCGCGATCAAAACTACACTTGTGCTATTTGATAGAATTCCATGAGTTGTCGTTGAAACTACTATGCATAGGTATTATGAACTAAGTACTGTGCTCACCTGACAACTATTATATCTAAATGACTTTGATATAAATAGCAATTGCTAGAATGTAAACGTCTAGAGTTTACACTAAAAATATTAGATTTAATCTGATTCTTTATCAAATCATTTTTCTTCATAGATTTACATAAGTTTTAGTAGTAATCTGAATCTCTATCGATTTTGATTGTATAAATCAGAGTCCAACGTGGATTAATTTTTTCGAGATTTGACATGATCCAATCCTAGTCAAACTCTAGTATAAATTGATGAAATTAAAAATCTTCGAGCAGTAAATGATCTTCCATGTTGACATTTTCAAAAACTAATCATGACTTTGAGTGTCAATCGTATTGTTTCTTTAGATGGAATATCTTACAAATATTGGTTCGAAAGAATTAAAAGCAATAGAAAAAGAATATCAAAAAGATAATATCAAAATACGAATACGGCATGATGAATTTTATGCACCAGAAAAATTCAAAAATGATATTGAGCTTCGAATGAATTCTTTATTATCTTCATTAGAATCAATCATATTTGAATGTATGCCATTATATTATGATATAGCTGATAAAGAAATCTTACATTTGAAAAATATTGCACGTAAAAATCATTGTGGTTGTGAACTGAAATTGAAAAAACAATTGAAATCGTATACAATTCCAAAAGCCATGGAAACATCATCCACAATCAATCTTGTTTCAAGATCACTTATGAAACAATCTGAATTATTTTGTTCTTTACCTGTAGTTTCTCAACAAGCAAAAACATTGAATGGATCAATTGAAGTTCTTATTGGTGATATAGCAGTACAAAAGGTTAGCAAAAAAAACAAACTATGCTTTGTTTTTCTATTATACAATTAGATAAAGCAGACTAAATTGATCTTTGATTATATTTCATACATTGTTGTTTCTGACTTAACTATAACTTATTATAATCATTTTGAATCTAACATTAATATCGATCAAAATTCATAATTTATTCTAACAAGATTTGAGTAATCTTATCAATGAGTTTTGTTGGTATCTGTTTTTTTCATTGTAGTCATTTCGACTCTTAAGAAAAGAATAGTTTTTCTTAATTAAGGATTCTTTCTAATGTTCTAGGCTGATGCACTGATTATTCCACTTGTATCATACGGATTAAAACAAAGTCTTATTGAGCGAGCAGGTAATATCATAAGACAAGAGCAACAATTAGATCAAACCGAAAAGGATCAAAATTCAACTCCTTTCTTCATTGAAACAATAGCAAGTAATTTAACATGTAAAATTGTCTTATTTTCAAATTGGTCACCATTAGAAGTAACGATGAATGATGATAATTTACGTGAACACATACGAAAATTTATTACGAAATCAATTGAATATGTCATTCTGAAAAATGAACAATCGAATATAAAAATTGAATCAATTGCATTTGCAGTACCTGATTCATGTAAACAAGAAAATATTTTAGCTGAAGAAATGATTAATGAAACAAAACGACAAATTGAATTAATAAAATCATCATTAAAAATTTCATTTATTCTATTATCTGATCAACAAACATTACATCAACACTTTTTAACAGCTATTCAAAAGATACAATCAAATGATGATGTTTATGCTGTATTTTCCTGTCCAATATCAAGTAAGATGTTATCTAATGATATTTTTACTTCTTTGATTCAGACTCATAAAAGAATTTTTACAAGGATACAACAGAGTGTATTTATCAGTAGAATAAGTTGCGCTGTTTGTATTTTTTTTTTGAATATGTCTCCTATTTTCACTTGATTCACATAGATTTTTACGGCTATTTCAAAGTTTTAAAGTATTTATTTTTTTTCCAAGTATATCCTAGAAGTATTTTAACACTCAATTATGTTAGAGAATTTCAAGTGAAATCTAAAAAACGATGTTTTGATCAAATGCAGAAAAAAAAATAAAGTTTTCAAAAATCATTCTGAATAAATCGAATGATCTTTTTTCATTTATTTTATTTCAGCTATTACAGTTAGTTTAATTTCATCCGATAATGAAAATTTAACAAAGTGTAAAGAAAAAATAATGAATTATATAAAAAGATCTATGATTAAAATAAAATTAGATGAATTCAAAGATTGGAATCAATATATGATCAATGCTTTTTATAAGTATTGTTATGATAGATGTGTTTTACCAAAAATAGATGATGATAAACGAATTCGATTAATTGGTCCAATCAATAATGTTTATGAAGCTAAGCATAAATATCTATTGACAAATATATTAATACAAGAAAAAATTCATTTACAACAACTATTAACTACAACACCACGAACAAAATCAATTATTCGATCTCAAATAACTAACAATATATCAACCATATCATCTTCTATATGTTACAATATAATGTTAAGTTATTGTCAAGAAGATTCGATTATATCTCATCGTTTAGCTGATCATCTTATTGATGAAGGTTTTTCTGTATGGATTGATTTAATTGGATCTAATGATGCTTTTTCACAAATTAATAAATCTGAATGTATCATTCTTTGTATCAGTGAAAATTATGTTGAAAATAAATTTAGTCAAAATACAGTAGAATATGTCAAACAGATGGATAAACATATTATTCTTGTAAAAGTTCAAAATTATACGTTAAATGATTGGTTACAAGAATTAATTCCGAATGAAATCTATTTTCAATTGTTTGGATCAGAAAATCATTTTGATTTACAATATGATAAATTACTATTAAAAATTGTGAGTATTCAGTACAATAGATAAATTTAACTACATATAAAATTGTACATGTAAATTGTTCTCGTTTTTCTGCATGGATCCCAAAATACTTTCTGTACTATTCGTATCTTGTATCGAAGACAACACTGTTGTATGGAAAAACAAAATTTAAAAACCATTACTGACTCCTATCAACCTGCCCCTTAAATTTCGTACGCCGTGGCCTATGCATCTCTTTATTTCAAAGTCTACAAAAACCTTTTAGAATAGTTCGATTACTTTTGAAATTTGTTTCTCAATATTCAAGTTCAAAGTTCTAATAAACATTTTTCACTAAACTTGAACTAATCAAAGAGCTATAAAATCTCTGCTTTTTCAACTCTTAAAAATAAATAAATCAACGATCTGACCACTGAAATATCTCTGATTTTTAATTCAGTTACAATATACTCAACCAGGTTATGCTTCTTTACTTCAAAAAACATCTAATGGATCTATCATATTACAGCAAAATGATATCGTTAGATCTCATCGATATTACAGTTTATTAAATTTTCTATTGACACCTAAACAACGAGAATCAAATTATCAAAAATATGTAATGAAATTAATAAACTTGAAAAAAGGAAAAATAGATGAAGATGAAAGAAAAATTCTTATTAATGAAATTGAAGAACTTATTCGTACCACAGAAAATCAATGTAGACAAAATATTAAAGAACAGAAAAAGTCTCATTATTATTATGATGGTGATCAAAGTGAGTTTATTTCATAATTTAACTATCATTTTTCGTCATTTTTCAGCAAATTTACAAACTTCAGATGATGAGTTAAAAGAAGATGAATTGAAATTACAGATTTTGTTCGACTCAGGAATATTATCTGATCAATTCATGTTGAAAAAAGCACTAGACTTGAAGACAAAACAGAATATTCCACCATATACGGTATCTGGTGATATCAATGATGCACCATTTCCAATGATAGATGAAGTTTTACGAAATCCAAAATTAATAGTTCGTACAGGAATAACTGGATTGCATCATGGTAGCTTCAAGTCTTATTTCAGCTGGAGCTTTAATAATCGCTATCTGAAATCTTTGCGGAAACAGAATAACAAATCTTCACAACATGAAGATACTAATATGGACTTGAATGATGATGAACCAAATATTCAAACAATATCAAATGAAGCTACGAGTTCTCATTCTTCTGATATGGCAGATGAAGACAGACTAAAAACGTTTCAAGATTTTGGAGAATCAAAAAAAACGATTAAACACCAAGTATTAGTCCAAAAAGACTTTCCCAAGAAGAGTACTTATTCAGAACAGGAAATAATGGAATTTCGCAAAAAATTTGTCCAACAAATGAAAGATAATGAAAATGAATTGAATAAACTTTGTGAAGATATTAACCTGTTACGTAAGTCATCAAGACAACCTATACATGCTGATTTGACCGCTATATTTTCTTTATCCAACGTGTCGGATGCGGAAGAAAAACCCATTGAAGCCTTACAAACTCATGGTTATCGTGAAATTCCATTAAAATTTCCCTGGAATGGAGTATTTGATACAAATGCCTCATCACTGATACAACAACATCCATCAGCTTTGTTTTTTATTGAAGTTCCACAACAAAAATAACTTCACTATAGCGAACTACGTAATTAAAGTTTTATGATTTATCAATTTCATCAATCATTTTGAAATAAACAAGACGTGTATCCCATTGAAAAATGTTCATGAAGAAAAATGTGTTTATGACCGACAAGAATATGTTCTGCATTTTAAGAAACGCGTATGAATCGTTGCTTTGACGATTAGAATGGTTTTCTTCCCGTGAGTTTTTTGGAAAGGAAAGGATAGAATTCTATCGAAATGGCATCGTCTTCTTTAACGTTCTCCAGAAAAATACCTCAATATGAATTCTTTGAGCTGATGAACGTATTCTAGATAATTCGACATCATGCTTAGAAAAAAGAACGTCTTTCTTGTAGGGTGTGGGTGTAGGTGTAGAATACTTGTAAGAGAGGGGGCTGAAGGGTGGGAGCAGGCCTTCTATTTTCTCCCACCCATGCCCTTGTTAACATGAATATAAACATATATCAATTAAATCAACTTGATTTCTTTCATTAGATAATAATGAATCATCTTTAATATTACATGATCGCGCTATTAATTTGCCCTTTGCATCTTTTTCTTCACATTTTAATAATTTAATAAAATAAATTTTAATAGATCTATTTTCTTCATCATCTTATCAATAAAAAGCAAATTCGAGCTTGAAAAATACTATTTTGACTTATTTATCGGATGTTTTTTCAACAGCTATAGAATTACAGATGGAAGCTTCTGGAAATTTTTGAATTCGCCAAATAGGGTTAAGTGGATGCCAAAATCTAAGATTTATTTAGTATCTATTCAATCAATATGGTGTGATAAGGTGTTTCAAAAGCTACAGAATTTGTCTATTTTCTTTTGCTTTTAGTACTCCGCTTAATGAAAGCACCTAGACAAAGCAGTTTTTCAGTTGAGAACGTTGATTCATTTCTAAGTGTTAAATATTTTTTTCACTTAATTTATTTTCTTATTATTCTACAAAAATTAAGAGTTTAGAACGTTTTTGTTGAGATTTCAGCGACACATATTTGACTAAAACAAACTAATCAAGAATTTGAGAAGGACAAAAATTATGCCTCAAAATGCTAAGAACTTCATCATTTATGAAACAATGGTTATAATGATAAATCAAGAAACACCTTTCAATCGATTACATACGGAATATGATCACTTATCGTCTTCTAAAATAGTTGAAAAAGGAAATGAAATAAACTTATTCTATGAGTCATTAATTATAACTTTTCAGCACGTTTAGTGCAAAAATTTGAAGGTAAACCTAAACAAGTTTTGACTAGTATATTTTATTATGATCTTTGTTTATGTTACATAATAAAAGTTTCTTGACAGTTTAATGTATATTAGAGCGTGAGTTTACGTATATAATGGAAAGACTCACACCCACATTCAACGAATTGTCAAACATAATAATAAGATGAAAGGTCGAGAAGATACTTTATGTTCTGGTGTATGTCAATTTTCAAAATCAATATTTTGACAACACATTCTATTGTTCATGGCAAACAAAGATTGAACTTCTTTTGAAAAACATCAATGTTCGATAAGATATCATCTAATATATGCAGAGTTTCTCATGAGTAACGATGTTTTCTTCTCAAGAATATTCAACTTGGCTTGATACAATTTTCAATCTGATTTTTTCATTGAGTTATCATGATTCAATTGAATAACAGTGAAAAACGTTTCTTATTACCTGTTTTTTTCTGAGATGAACATTTGTTCCGTTTTCACAAATGTTTTCTTGTTATATATTTTATTTTGTGACAAAAAAATATTAAAGTGAGTAGGGATAAAATAACCATGAGATAGATTTATAAGACAAAAGTCAAACTGGTTTCAATTGTCGAAGCAAAATATTATGATAGATCAGATGCGTATCAGTTCTTTGTTGACGGCAAAAATCATTTCAAAAAATATGAGTAATAAACATGGATTAAATCACGTCATATATTCCGATTTAAGTTGATCAATTCGAAACAGGAACCATGACATTTCTCGAGAATGAAAAAAATACGAATATAATATATTTGAACATGAATTGAGATAGAAATAATGGAGGCTTGTGAACGAGTACAAATATCGATTACTTATCAACGGTTTACAATTACTAGTATCTCGATTATTGTCGTGATTTTTAGCTTTTTATTCTAAAAATGCGAGTATCTTATTGATTTTCTTGTCTTGTTGAAGAGCTCGTATTTCGTACCTAAGCAAACGTTCATCTTCAAGAAGTTTCGCATTATCGTATAAATAATAGAGTGATGTCTCTTGACGACCTTTAAATTGTAAATATTTTGTTGTTCACTTCAATTTGCGCATATTTGAAAAGACCAACAAAAGAAAAAGTGAAATGGATAGCTACAATAACAGGAACAGCATATTTTTAAAAAAATATTCATCGTTTGTCTACAACTTCACGTTTAAGTTTAGCAGCCATTGCTCGTCGTCTGATTAATTCATCTTCCAATATTTGTGTTTTTTTGTTGTTGTTTTTCTTATTTATTTTCATCGGTTGTATCCATAGATTGACGTGCAATATGTACAGCTAATTATGGTCGAGCATTACATGATTGTTGTTCGAAATCTCGTGTGCGTATTGCTTAAAAAAGAAAATGTTAATGAAATGAAAATAATCATGATGATATATGAATTAAAAAAATTTTCGATAGATTTCAACATTAGGTCGAACATCATCACCAGATTTCACTCGAGCTGAACGACAAGTAGATGGCAAACAAAACGTCAAATCGATGATTGAAAAAGAGTTTAGTGATAATGAAAATGAAGAACTTTTTCAAATAAAAGCATAAAGCAAACATGATTATGTTGATGATGTTTAAGAAGAGGAGGCCCAAGCAGATCCTGAAAAGCCAACGATGGGTTCGATGAGTGGTCGAAGCTTGAATATACATTTTTATCTCGTTCTGTTCGAATTTCGAACCCCTCGATGGCTATCGGCTCTCGAGCCCTCGGAAAGATTTTCCTATTGCACATTTATTTTCGATTATTCGGGCATATTTTGACCACTCGAAAACGATTGAAATATCGACTACACGAAGAGAGGACACCTATCAGAAAGATTATTTCGATTATTCGATATGACTCCGATGAGTCGGAGCCCATCGAACTATCGTGTAGTCGGAAACATTGTTCCATGTTGCTTCCATTGTCGACTCCTTGGGCATGTTTCGACGATTCGTAGTCTATCGAAATTTCGACTACTCGAAGACAGGAAATCCATAGGAAAGATAGTTTCGATTGTTCTTTTTAACTTTAATTGCTGAAAACGTCTGAGAAATTCAGTTTTTGACTGATATTTTTACTCTTATTACATGATCCACTTGGAGAATTTTGGTTTTCTACAGGTGCTTTCACGTACTTTGATCATTTAAACAATATTATTTATCATTTACAGCTAGAACAACGATAGAAATATCTTTACAGTTCTAAGAAAAAAATAATCTAAATGAGCTTACTTTCATAACACCCTAAATTTCCTGAGCTCATGACTAACTCTGATTTTCAATTAGTTGTTGATAAAGAAAGTTCATGGGATCATTTAAAACTATGGGTTTATTTTTTAGTCCTCGAAATTACTGAAATAGTTGAATATTATAAACTTAATAAGGATGCATAAGTCGAGTTTGTCTAATTTTAGTTTCAATAGATTTGTTTGTTGCTTTTTTTTACATAATCTAATTAACTGTAATGTAACTTATGCTTTAGCATAAATGTTTTATTTAGTACAATGAAACTGATAACAGATAAAATCGCTTTTATTTAATATCAACAATAGCTATATATATATATATATCACGGGTTGTTTTTTCAAAAAAAAACCAATTAAATTTATATTTAAAGCACATAGAAAAAAATATAAAAGTTAAACATATTTCATCATGACACTTACATTCATCTAAAATTAAAGCGTTATATTTAGTTCATGTGATCTATGCAAGCTTCGTATCCGTAAGTACATATGTTCAAATCTTCACTTCGACATTTATATCCGATAGGTATCGAATGCTCGAAGAAAATTAGATGCAGAGAGCGAATTCTTTTTGAAATTTCAGAAAAACATTCGACTACTCGGAATATCGACCCCTCGCGATCCCTGAAAATCGGGCTCATCGAAACCCATCGAGAAAGGTCCATCGATGGGTGTCGAAGTACTATCTCGACACGTTGGAGTGCCATTTTCCAATAGGTCGAGGGGACGGCGATGGGTGAACAATTCTTAATTTCATCAACCTATCGGATGGTTCAGATCGACACCTCGAGATACCCATAGCATGACTGCTTGGGTCATAACAATGAAAAAACATTTAATATTATATGAAAGACATAGTGTCCTACAAGTGTTTTGCAGAAATTGCATATAGTAGTGCTAATGTATGAGCAGATCCGATTGATAAAAACAAAGAAAAAAGAAATAAAAATTGATGCACTTCAAGTTTCTGGACGAATGTTTTCATATTGTCTACGAGATTTTCTCAAAGTTTTGTTTGTTTTTTGGCATTTAATGCTATTATTGGGTGTGGATGGGTGTGGGTGTGGGTATGCGGTGTGAGTGTGGGTGTGGGTGTGTGAGTGTGAATGTGGATGTGTGAGTGTAGTTGTGGATGTTGGTGTGGGTGTTCTACCTTCAGCAACACCACTACTCACACCGACCCACACTCTCACCCAGACACCCACAACTCACACACTCACACCACTACACTTACATCCATACACACCTTCTCGAAGATCTGCAAATCATATGGCGCATGAGCCCAACTGCTTTTCAGCGCTAGAACATGTGTATCTAAAAACATTTATAATGTTGAAAAGTCAAGCTGATTTAAGCGGAGCTTTTTCATTTCATATAAACCTTGAATTTGAAGAATGAATTTTAATCAGTATTTATTGTAAGTTGAAGTTTTTTTTCGGTTACATACATCAGTACTGCCATGCCTCTTTCGTTCAAAGAATATGGCAAAGAATCTGAATCGAATGCGAAAGAAAAA